TCTACTTCACCCTCAGGCCTCATCAGTTCACCTCAGACATTCAGAAGATATATTTCGCTGCCAGCTACCTCCGTGGATCTGCATTCAACTTCTTTGATTAGTGGCAACAACCAAAATACCACTACACCTTTGATTACCTCTTATGACCAGTTTCAAGAGGAACTTACCAGGACCTTTGGAGACATCAACGAAACTGCTACAGCAGAAAGAGAGCTACAGAAGCTATGTCAAAAGACCTCTGCTGCTCAGTATACAACAGAATTTAGGAGAATCACTTCTCACTTGACTTGGAATGAAGAAGCCTTAGTCTTCACTTACTACCAAGGGCTCAAGAGCTCTATTAAGGATGAACTCAGCAAAGAAGAACGCCCAACAACACTTCAAACGCTTATAGAGAAAGCTGTCAGACTTGATGATAGGCTTTTTGAAAGAAGAAAGGAGGAGAACCAAGACTGGCATCCAACAAGAAATTTCAACAATTACACCTCTACACCAACTGCTAAGGACTCAGCACCTGAACCTATGGACTTAGACGCCTCTATAAAGAGATCTACAGCAAATCCAGCACCTCAGCCTACAAGAAGCCCTCAAAAACTGAAAAGGGGTAAACTTACTCCTCAAGAAAGAAAACACAGAATGGACAACAACCTTTGTTTATACTGTGGCAAAGGGGGGCACAGAATTCAGGAGTGCTATTCAGCACGGGGGAGTGCTGATTCAAAACATATAGCAGCCTCAGACACAGTCACAGCTGCTATTCCTGAAAAACTTGAAAAATCCCCACCAGGCACAACTTCAACTGAGACTACAACTTCTCCCCTAGACAACAAAGATGTGTCGATGGTGCTTTCTCAGAGTTTCACACACCTGTTAATCCCTATTCAACTCTATTTCAAACAACAGGTGTTATCTACAAGGGCTATGATAGACTCAGGGGCAACAGGCAACTTTATATCTCAAGACCTCATCTTGACACACCAGTTACCTACAATTCCCAAACGCACTCCAGAGTTGCTCCGAGTCATTGATGGAACTCCTATCAGTTCAGGTTCCATTACCTGCAACACCCCAGTACTCAAACTTGAGATTCCCCTAGGAAAATCAACATTTTCAGACACCATCTCTTTAGATGTTATACCAATGAAGTACCCAGTCATCCTAGGTCTTCCATGGCTTCAAAGGCATGATCCAACTATCAATTGGAAGCATTTATCGCTTGGGTTTAGCTCAAATCCTGAGCTCAATACTGAAAAAACCCTTCAAGCCTCAGTTACCCCTATTCAGGTCCAAGACTCAAACTTGTCCCAGATCAAGGATTTTGACCAAACTATGGACGATATATCATCTCTGATATGGGTTAAACCTTTCCAACCTGTCCTGGAGATAGCAGCTACTTCAGATTTGGAGAAATCATCTCAGGAGGTCATTTTGCCTTTAGCATACCAAGACTACCAACATCTTTTTGACAAGGCAAAGGCATCAATTCTGCCAAAGCACCAGCCTTATGACCATGAGATACCACTCGCAGAAGGCTCAATGCCTCCCTTGATCTTGAGTTTGATAGCAAACTGAGTGCAACGAATGTCAGTATGACACTTTTACGGGCAAGAACAGTTGGAACTCTCGAATATGAATATATGGAGACTTTAAACAGAGATATCCAAGAAGGGAAAAGCAAATGGAAACGGCCACGAAGACCATCACAAGAATTTGGAGACATGGAGAGTTGGAATAGAGGAAGAGTTTCAGAAAACCAAGAAGTTTCAAAGGGTGGGATTGATTGGTTTTTATACCATGAAATGGTTTTACTCCCACTTCTCTTTCCTTATTTTCGGAAAATCAAATCATTACATCCAGAAAAACGACTCTGGTTTGTAGATGACAATGTTAGTCTTCATTTGAAAGCACACCGTTCACTTGAAGATTATATGAAAAGAGAAGGAATTCACAGAGTAGGATTCTGGCCTCCAAACTCTCCTGATTTACATCCTATTGAGAATGCTTTTGATTATCTTAAAGATCGAGTTGATGAATATATACCTTTAAATGGAGGTAAGCTTGAGAAAGCTCATGCAAGGGTATTTCTTGAGGAAGAATGGGGGAGGAGAATGGGGGAGGAGAATGGGGGAGGAGAATGGGGGAGGAGAATGGGGGAGGAAAATGGATGGGAAAACTGCTCAACTATGTGCGTCGTTCAGGGATAAGTTAGAGCGGTGTATTGCAGTAAATGGAGGTAACAATTTTCGTGGGTAGATTATGTACATTTCCGAGTACGACAACGGATGAGTGGCGCCGTCAGCCATGCGCATGTTCCAACTCAGCATTAGCCGCTATAGCCCTAAATACTTCCCGTTAACTGCAAGCCTCGATGACCCCAATGGCTTCCCCGTGTATTGTGTCACCGTGTTGAGTAGGTAGGTCATGTGTTCCCGCCGTACTGATTTGTCGGGGGAGGAAGCGCTATCATTGCTCTGCTCAGGCCGCTACATCATCTGAATTAGACAATAAAATATTGTATACGTAATGAGTTCCTAAAAGTAAAACTTGATATTTTTAGGGGTTATTTCGGTTATTTCGTCGTACCTATCACAGGATATCATCCCAGTATGGGTCGAGGAGACAAGTACATGAATTGTAACCCGGCAAATTAATAGTTCCGTTCGTGGGCTGCCAACCTCGCCGACCAAGGCTGAGAAAGTCCCAAGAAACCACATACGAACCTGCCCACCCATTTGACAATAAGGATTCAGCAGCACAACCACCAAGACACCAGCGATGTTATTAGGCAACAGGTTTTGCTCATCGTAAACTATGATCGAGCATGATTTAGCAGGCACAAGTAAGGACTTTGTGGGATGAGGGTGACGAGCCACTGCTAACACGTTTCCCAGCGCCATTATGGTCGACGGAATCTACGGCTGTCTTGCTCGCCGAGCTGGCACGACGACAAGTGGAGGGCGAACGGCCAGCTTGCGGTTCTGCGCAAGGAGGGGACTATAGTACACCACACCACGTTGGAGCCTTAGTTCTCATCCTCGTCCTGAGCATTGCTGGTACGATTACACCCGAAACAACTGTGCAGGGCATCGCTAACTACTCTCAGGCTGTGGCTTCCCCCTCATCTCCCAATGTGCGAATAAACATAAAGGGCCAAACGATCTCGTATTCTACTCGCAACACTTTGGCACAGGAGTGTTGATTGCAACCGCATTCGTGCATCTCCTCCCCACCGCATTCGTCTCCCTCACCGACCCCTGTCTCCCATGGTTCTTCAACACCGGATACCGGCCTCTGGCGGGCGTAATAGCCATGATATCCGCCCTCCTCGTCGTCGGGCTCGAGATGTTCCTCCGCACAAGAGGCGTCGCACATACCCATTCCCACCTCGAAACATGGGAGCCCGATACTACCGCCATCCCTGAACCGGGACAGGCGGACCAGGATCGCGAGTATGAAGAATCATCTGTGGGCCTTATGGGCGCGGGGTCGTGGAGTGGTGAGCCGAGCCCAAAGGAAAACGGCAACAAGACGACGTCAGACTACCGCGGAGATGCGGAAGGCTCGGACCTCGATTTGGACGAGCTAGATCCTGCGACGGGGACAAACGGTCGTACCGGCTCGCGGCCGCATGCTCAAATCCTTAGTCCAGAGGGATTGCAAAAGAAACTCATGGTTCAGTGTATGCTCCTCGAAGCCGGAATCATCTTCCACTCCGTATTCATCGGCATGGCCGTATCCGTCGCGACCGGTCCCCCATTCGTCGTTTTCCTCATCGCCATCTCCTTCCACCAGACATTCGAGGGCATGGCATTAGGTTCCCGTATCGCCGCCATTAAATTTCCCAAGGGCTCCTTGAAGCCCTGGTTAATGGTTCTCGCCTACGGCCTTACGACGCCGATCGGACAGGCTATTGGTCTGGCCGTTCATACGCTTTATGATCCCAAGAGCCAGGCCGGGCTTCTCATGGTGGGGGTGATGAATGCGGTTAGCAGCGGGTTGCTGTTGTTCGCGGGGTTGGTGCAGTTACTTGCGGAGGACTTCCTCAGTGAGGGGAGTTATGGTGTACTACAAGGGAAGAAGAGGGTTCAGGCTTTTACGGCGGTGATTTTGGGAGCTACGTTGATGGCGATGGTAGGTGCGTTTGCATGATTATGTATCCTCCCTTTGTATAGACAGCGTGGGATTTTTTGTATGCATATTTGGAATAGTATAGATCTGGCTTTAAATGGTATTCAATGAACAGATATGCTGGTTTTATCTCATTCGGATATGTGCAGATGAGGCGTGAACTATTATCTAAAGTGATTCAGAGCACGGTATCCATCGCCCTTGGGATGAGACGAGTGTATTTAGACCTTACACAGCCAGCCTATTTGGGTTCTACTCGTATTTCTCTCAATCTTCTTCAACGGGGCCGTCCTCTGTCCGATCTCCTGTATCTGGACTGTGTTCCTGAGGACCTGTCTACCACCCAATAAAGCGTAAAAGTTGATGCTAATCACATAATTTCCCTTCTTGTAAGCCAAATATGATTGTAATTATCAGCTTTATCTACCTATAAAGTCAGTCGCCGTTGTCGACCACTAATGTATTTATAGCGTACGCACTATTGACGATAAGTTAACGCGTAACCCACCCGCGACTTTAGTACGTGCCACCCCCTGGCCCATCGTACTCGACTACACTTTGGGTCCAAGGCAGCACTTCGTAGCACATCCCAATTGTCTCAGAACACAACGCATGTCTCTGTCCAGCTTCCAGCTCCAACTCAACACCAGCTGAGCCAATCGTCCATATACTCACATCCCCGCGGCATCACCAACATTCCATCGTCGCATCAAGCTCCTGCCGAGCTACCCCGGATCGTCGTTACTCAGCCTTGCGATGTCATAGGCGTTCCAGCCTCGCCACAGTCGTAACTTAATCAAAAGCACGACATACCATCCCATACCTCAAGCATACCGAGAGCTTCACTCACGCCGTGAGCGTCGGAAGCAGCCATGGTTATCGCTATCAATGGCTTCGAGGCGCTCTATTATATGAATATATGGCGGATCCTAGCCGACCTCACGCACTCCCTGTCGAAATGCATTCTCATCTTCGCCATCCACCGCAACAAGAGCTCTGAAGGTCTGCCCCCCCACTCCCCCTCTCCCTCTCACCCCCCTCCGCGTCTCTATAGAACAGGCTCTAACAACCCCCCAGGCGTCTCCGTCATCTCCCAAGCCCTCTACGCCCTCGTCTTCTGCACCCGCTACATCGACCTCTTCTGGAAGAACCCGCGCGACAACTACTGGAACTTCATCTTCAAAATCTTCTACATCGTCTCCTCGCTCTACATCCTCTTCCTCATGACCCGAATTTTCGCCCGCACCCGCGAGCGCGAAGTCTCCTACCGCCTCGGCGCATACAGTCTCCTCGGCGCTTTCGTCCTCGCCCCCTTTATCACCATGATCGCTGAGAAGGCGTGGGGTCCGCGATTCTCTCATATCGTCATCAACTTCTCCCTTATCCTCGAGAGTGTGTGCGTTTTGCCGCAGCTGCTTCTCTTGCGCCAGACTACAGTGCCGACGGTTATAGACTCGTATTACCTCCTCGCGTTGGGCGCGTATCGCGCGCTGTATATCTGTAACTGGATCGAGCGGTACGCCTCTGCGGACCCCGTTAAGCCAGAGGCTGTGGCGGTTATCTTTGGCATTATACAAACACTACTATACGTTGACTTCGCATGGGTGTACTACTCACGCCAACGCGTGAAGCTTCGCAGTGGCGGAATCGTAGACGCCGATGATCTCAGCAGGAGCTGGATGTTACGGCGAGTCCTTCGACGCGGCCGTGACAGCGAGGAGAATGACGAGGAAGCAAGGCCAGCGCTAGGGGGTGATGATGCAGAGTATGAGCAGAATGTGTCCAGGAGGGAGGGGTCGAGGGGACGAGCGGGGGGTTGGGGGAGGAGGGGAATCAGTGTTAGTGCTGATGATGAGGTTTTGGCGGCGGAGAGGGGGGAGGGGAGCCCGATTGCGACGGATGCGAGGATGAGGGATCCGGACGAGTTGGCGAGGATTTTGCATGATGAGGATGACAGTGATGTGGAGGTGGCTGGGGCGCCGAAAGCTACGCCGGTTGGGGGGGAGGAGTGGAGGGATAGGTCTTAGCTGGATGTGGTGGTAAGGAGGCGGTGTGATTGGGGAAGTCGGGTTGTTTGAAACCACCGGATGAGATTGGTATTATACAATATGTTAAATGAAATGATATTATACCCATGGCATTTTGATATTTATAGGGAGCGGTGTATTAACATGCTAGAGACAAGAAGCGGCCCACTGACAAAGAGTCATCTATTCTATAACAGGATTAGAGCCTCTAGAATAGTCGTGTGGATGTGGCGTATCGTCGGATCACAATCATGCCTTCTCTCAAATCTTTCCAAACCAAAGGATACTTTGGACACCGTCGAAGCTGCCCCACTCGTTTTCTGTAGGGTCCTCTTCGAGGCAATGCAAGCCTCCATCTTCACCCAACCTAAGCTAACTTACGTGCAGTTCAACCCAATCCATGACTACACCCAGACCGACAGCAGCAGCGGGGGTTGTCGACAGCAAAAATAAAGTAGTAACAACAACATATAACGATGAGAAACACACGACAGCAACACCAGACAACGACAATACAATGCTACCCACTGCCACCATCCTCAATGTCTCCTCAAACATACCTCCCAGTTTTATTCAACGCAGCCACAGATGAGCGACCCCACCACCCCCACCTTCCGCCTTCCTTGCCTTATAGATATCCTCTCGCAGGTCCTTTTGTCGATAGCAAAAGGAGAGCGGTGACAACAGCACGTAGCGGTGAGAATGACGGCATACGTGAAATAAGTCTTTATGATGAGTGGAAGAAAGCAGCAAGGAACGGGGAAAAGCATGAAAGACCACCAAGACTGTTTTGGGCCTCGGAATCTCGAGGTGTTTTGGAGAGCCGTTTTCATATATTCATACGGAGCAGTGATTCTTTAACAAAGGATGCCCAAGAACAAGGTAATGTTATGCTCATTTTCTCATTTTCCCATTCACTACAGACAATGCAACTGTACATTAATCTAGAAGAATAAACATTAACTCCGCTCTAGACAAAGACCGAGGCTGGTTCGTCCACAACAGACGAATGATTTCAACGAACAACCCCCTCTTCCCAGTTTCATCTCATATCCGCGCCACAGTAACAATATGACCGGGTCTATATAAGACGCCATGAACCTCCCTCCCATCCCTTCCCCTAACCAGAAACACAGAAACACACTTTCCGACACAATCGCAAGACAATCCAAAAGAAGAAACATCACCAAAACCTCTCGCAGCTTCTCCAGCCCCCCTCTAGAGATACACCCATCCCATCTCCCCCCCTCAACCATGCCTTCCACACAGCTAACCTCCTTCCCCAGCTTCCGCCACCTCCCCGCCGAGATCCAGATGATGATCTGGCGACACGCCATCCACGCCATCCACGGCCGTGAAATAATCCTCCACCACACGCCTCTTCCCTACATCCCACTGCCCATTCCAGCAGTCCTGCCGCGAACCGAGATCACCTCCAGCGCCCCGATCCCAGCGGTCCTGCATGCGTGCCACCTCTCGCGGCTGCTGACACAGCACCGGTGAACACTAAGCATGGGAGCCTATGCGGCTGCCGAGAAGAAGGTGTATGTCGATGTGGGGACTGATTCAATCTACTTCCGGAACCAGACGTTGCTGATGATCTGGCACCGTGACGGGGATTGGGAGGATGTAATGAGGTTTGCTGGGAGGGGTAATATTCATGTGGTATGGGGTTGGCACGGCTTGCAGCCTGGCCTCACGTACCAGAGTCCCGTGCTGATGCTTAGGTTTTATATAACCCCCCAGGTAATAGCTCATTTTAGGCGTATGATGATACGATGAATTAGAATATATATATATTTATACTACAAGTTTATGAGACCTTTGCGAGGACGCAAAGCGCGTGATTTCCGGACCACAGGCAGCATTATTGTAGCCCCTGTGCGTATACGCAATAGAAACCTAAAGGGCGTTGGCATGGCAGTATTCTCAGTTTAGAACCCGTGCGGGGATGTGAAGTGATGGGTGCTGGGTTTGGAGTAGGTCGGGACTGTGTAATTTGCCCTGGGTCTAATATACTACATAACTATAACTCCTGGCCCAACCAGAGCATCGCAATAGCATCGCATAGTAATAATTCCGACGAACTAAAAGTCCGCCGTTGGCAATGGGGAATTCCTGAGATTGTGTGAGATCATGAGGATCTGGATGGGGTTCTTGGAGCTGCGTGCCCCAATTGTCACACGGATGCATATTTATCACCGTATGATGTCTAACTCAAAGATATAGGAGGGGTTCCTCTCACCTTAGAGCTTCCTTTCCTCTGTAGCTTCACGCACCCCTAACTACTAGAGGCGTTCTGCTCCTTTGTTATTCCACTCCTCAACCGTCAACTTTCAGGTTTCAATTTTAGAACAAATTCCTCAAAAGTATGCTCCAAGGAAGAAAGTGTACGGTGACAGAGACCACAGACAAACAGACAGACAGACAGCAGTGATATCAACGACAAGAAAAACAATCCGCAGTGACAGCAGGGACGGCAACAGCAAGAGGCCGGTGACAGAGAACGAATAGCAACATAATAGAAGAGAACTCACTCACCGGCTCGTTGTTGGGCGTCTCGTGCAACGCATCCTTTTTCAAAAAGCACCACCGCGACTAGCCTCCATTTAGGCTCGCTGTGGCGTTTTAGGCTTTGTCCTTGAGTAAGAGCCGATTTGAGTTGTTCAGCACATACATACATGCATACGTACAGTACATCCGAATATGGGGTGTTTGGATGTGTTCACACATAACACATCTGAACCCTCGCCCCCTCTCGAATCAAACCTGGGGCCTCAGTCAAAGTTGGAAAAAATACATGATATTCCTCCTCCGCGCGCACAGCAGAGCTAAAATAATGCCCTCTCCCCCCCCCCCCCGGGGGCCCTCCCCCCCCCCCCCCCCGGGGCCCGTCTCCCCATTCCATTCCATCTCATTCGCATTCAGCTATATACAACCCCCCATCTCCCATCTCCGAGAGCCAGCCCATTATATCACTCCTTCAACCCACGTCTCCAACTCCCACCCCAAAACAAAACAAAATCCAAAAACCTCCCTTTTTTGCCCCCTCCTCCCTGCATTAAATAGGCTGGTATATATCCGTCCGTCCGTAAAAATCTGTATAAAAAATGTCCCCCCCCACCCTGTTCATTTGGTGTTGAATTTATTAGATCGTTGGAGTAGTTGGTTGACTCAAATCCAAGCAAACCAAGTCGTTCGTCTCTGGTATCCCTCGTGCATCTTCATCCCTCATGTTGCCCCGTCGTAAAGGTGATCCCGCTTTCATCCCAGCTCATCACGGTCGTAGCCTCTCAACTTCATCTCTAAACCCATTGCGTACCAACCCAATTACAAGTCAGTGTGTATCCGCCCATACCCCTCTCTAACCCCCGTCGTACCCCGTCCAGAATATATACAAACCCCCCTCCCCCCTAACTAAAACCAGGTAACCCCTACCCACCCACAGGCGGTAAAAGTCTAGTATCCTACCTCCCCTTCCCCCCCTCCATCCCCCCATCAAAAGCCCACCCCCTCTTCAAGCCCCCCTCATACACACTCGCCACGCTCTCCTGCCACATACTCGGGCTGACAAACGCCGCCGCCGGCGGCGCCACGAACTGCTGTTGGGCCAGGAGATGCTGCTGCGCTGCTGCTGATCCCATCGGCGGCAGCGGAAGCAGGGGAATACCCATCATGTCGGGATGGGCGCTGAGTTCGGCGCCGGCGTTGGACATATGGCGCATCCCCTGTTGTGGGGGTCCGACGGACATGGATGCCGCGGTGGGGGTTTCAAAGGTGGTGTTCCATTGGCTGTGGGGTATTAGCATGTTGCATTCACAGCCGACCAAAGTAGAAAAGGACGAAAGGGGAAAGGGGGAACTAGAGAAATAGACAAAGAAAATACGCACTCAAAAATCCTCGCCGGATTCCACGCCGACGGATCCGCCATCGTCATCGCCGTCTGCATCCCCTGCTGCATCCCCTGCTGCATCCCCTGCTGCTCCGTCATCCCCCCCCCGGCCATCATAACTAGCCCCTGCACCGCCCCCGCGCCCTCCACCTTCATCCCTCCCGCAGACACCGGACTCTGCTCCGGCGGGCCGGTGTACGTGACATGGTGCTGGCTCGCGTGCTGATTCAGGCTCTGATGCGGGAGGTGGTCGACTGAGGACGTTGGTGATAGGGTGGATTGCTGGTATTGTAGGGTGGGGGGTGAACTCTGGTTGCTCGAGGTGGGGCTGCCGTAGGGGAAGCTGGGCTTGAGATCAAAGGGCTTGCGGGTGTCGGCTGAGAAGGCCTCGCGGAGGGCGTCGATTTGTTGCTGCATATCTGGCATTGGGCAGGCGTTCGTGCAGCGCTCGAGGAGTTGCATGTGGCGGGTGAAGTACTCGCGCGCGTCCTTATTGAGGTCCGGGTCTGGGGATGTGAGAGCGACGAGGTGGAGAACGGTGCAGGTGAGGATACTGTAGACGATGTAGTTGACGCCGCGGACCATGCAGAGAAGTCCATCCATGCCGAAGGAGTCCAGGACGGATTCCTGGAGACGGCAGAGCAGCTTCGCGTTCGTGTAGGCGATCAGCATGTGGCGCTTCCATTTTCCGTCCGGGTTGCTGGGATCGAGACTCGCTAGTTGCGGGCGATGGAGCATAACTACGCCGAGGCAGAATTGGATGTGTATGTTCCCTAGGAAGTGCGTTGGGAGCCAGGGCGGGGATCCGTCGGGTGGGAAGGTGACCTGGAGATCTTGCGGGAGTTCGACCATCCATTTGTCGAATGAGGGGTTGAGCTGGAGGAACTTCGGGTCCATGCCCACCTCCACCTTCTTCTTCTTCAGCTTGCTGTACACGACGGCCACGTTCCTTATATGTCCGACGCATCTCGCAAAGTATGTGAACTGCCGTTGGATGTGGTAATCCGAGTCGTCAGCCCCCGGCATCGGTTTCGGGATGCTAAAATCGACGGTATCCGCATCCACGGAAAGCAAGTGCGTCCTGCCCTGCGGCGAGCCAACCATCAGCTCGACAACGAAGATGACGAGCCATATCCGTGTCTTAATAGCGCATTCAGTATTAGTATTCCCACACGGCCTCCCTGCCTTGTGGTCCTCGTAATGTTCGTCAAGTCCCATATCCCGCGCCATAGTAACGCATTGCACAACCGTCATCCACGATCGGTAGTAGTAGCCTCGTTTTGGTACAGCTTCCCGTGCCTTTAATATGATAAGCATGGCCTGGAGCGTACTTAATCGGGGGTCATCCATAAACGCAGTAGCATGCCCTGTATTCGATTAGCATAATTTCGGACTCCTCACGGGACTGCAAAACTCACGCGTTGCTAATGCGAGCCACTGCTGCCCCTGCGACGGCTCATCCGCAAGTTTCCCCGCATGCGCAAACATAGCCTCCAGAATCAGCGGCGAGATAGCTTCCCTATCACTATGCCACTGGTGGTAAAACAAAGTTTTGTTCAGCACCGGAACGTAAGGGTGTATGTTGTTGAAGTAAATATCAAAGTAGTGCAGCGCCGTTTCCTCGTCGGGCATTAGCTCAGGGGGTATCCGTATCTTCGAACCTGGCCCTGCAGTTATTTGTGTAATAGCAAAATTATCCGGATCCTCAAACACAGCTTCCTCAACCGCCGCGGACTCCTTTTTCCTGTTACTCAAGTACGGTGCTGTAATTACGGTTAGCGCCCTTCGTATCTCAAAGAACTAATCAACTAACCAGTTCCCGACTCATCCATCTTCAGAGCTCCTAGATACTCGGCAAGGTCTTGCGTGCCGTAGGGATCAGTCTGGTACATTTCCGGAGAGTGGGTTTGCGACAGCTGCGATAGTGATATCTGCCGTTGGGGTTGGTGTTGCAGAGGTTGCTGTATAGTCTGCTGCAAAGGCTGCTGTAACGGCTGCTGTAACGGCTGCTGCTGGATTGCTGGCGGCATAGACGTAAAAGTCGGCTGCGGCGGGTAATTGTTATCCATCAGAGCCGGCGGGTTCATCGCAGCGGCATATTGCATCTGCTGTTGCTGCTGACATAAGTTTTGCTGGGGATAAGCCATTGGCTGCTGATATCCATTATTCTGAGCCGAATATGAGATCTGCTGCGCATAGCCCTGCGGCTGTCCGTTCTTGTCGATCGCCTGCATGTGTTGCTCCAACGAGGTGTAATCCTCGTCGCCGCTGCCGCTCTCATACTCTCCCTTCTCGGGCTCGAAGCCGTGGCTCTGGCCGCCGTCGTAGTTGGCCGTCGGCGGGATGCAGTGCAACTTGAGGCGTATACAGGCCGAGCAGGGCCAGGTGTTCGTCGTGGCGGCATCGCACTTGATTTTGCGTCGTCGGCATCCTTCGCAGGCTCGCATCACTGGCACGACATATATCAGTAACATGTTCCCGGGCCAAAAACGGCCACCAATGGTTCAGACTAACCCTTCAGCCGCTTATGGCGATTGTGTTCGTCCACGAAGACATAATCTACTTGATACCGTTAGCAATTCGCTCGTCGACAAGTGCCCATCTCCCGGCGGCTTACTCTTCTGCGCCTCGCGCGGAGCAACGTTGTTCGGCGCAAAGGTAAAGGTCTGCGGCTGCGAGCTCTGAGGAAGCAGGCGCCGCACACCCGCTGGGTCGCCCGACATCGAGCGGGGTTGGACCAGCGGCGGCGAGGACGAGTAGGCGGTATGGTAGGGCTCCAGCGGCGTCTGGAAAGCGTCGCTGCCGTCGAGGAAGAGAGCGCCGTCGTCGACAAGCGAGTCTATCATGAACAGGACGGTGGCAGCGAGGCTCGCCCACAGCACAGGGACGCGTGTGGTGGTGGTGCTGGGTGTGTGGGATGTGTTTCGAGGAGTGTCGCTGCGAGGCAGGGCAGCGCAAGGAGGTGGCCGTTCCACGCAGGTCTCCGCCTAGGATTGTGCCGGGTATATCAGACGTCGAGTATTTGTCGGTGGGCCGGTGGGCGCGAGGCAGGCGGTGGATTTTCCTTGTTCGCGAGGTTGTAGCAGGGGGCCCGCCGGGAGAGTGATTGACGGGGCTAGCTCGCGCGAACCCGCTCTTAACAGCTCTGGCTTGGTGGGACCCTTGGGACAGCTGCTCATACCTCATACATGCCCTCTCTGGTCGAATTAAAGGGTGACGATGATTGTTGTTGAACGAAGGGTAGTTATAGAGTAAGAGTGATCAGAGTTTGGTTTTTGGCTTTGCGAGATACTGGGGGTTTCGATGGCGGGTGGACGGAAAGTTGCGTGCGGTAGGCAGATTTGCGGCCGATGTATATTTCACATGTACTTATACTGGTACTCTTCGTACAGTAGTACGTTTTTTTTTCTTCAATGGCTATGTATGTATGAGCTGATTCCCTAGCAGTGAATGGAGGAATATGGTCTTCCTCTCTCGTTCTCTCTCTCGTCTTGGGTTGGTTTGTTCTGCCTGTCAGCTTTGTCTGTGCGAGTCTGTATCCCGTCTCTTGCGTCTCGAAGCAGATCCAGTCCCAAGAAGGAGGGCGTCCTCGGGGTCCTCGGGCGCAGACGAGACGGGTCGGCCTTTGGATCTTGGGGCGGCAGGGAGGCAAGGAGAGAGGATCAGGGCGTGGGTGCGGGCTGGTAGTGGTAATATTGGGCGAGTGTGGCAACTCTTCTCTCCCTTCTTCTGGATAAAAGATGGTTCGAGGAGGGGATCGATATCAGCGTGGGGCAGTAGCATCAAGGGAAGAGGGATTGAGGGATTGGGGGATTGAGGGATTGAGGGATTGAGGGATTCGGGGAAGAGAGTACCGGGTTGAGTACAAAGTACAAAGGATCAATTGAGGAAGTTGAGGTAAGGAAGGTAAGGAGAGAGGTAGAGGAAGGATAGAGGAAGGGTAGAGGAGGGTAGCGTTAAGGGTAGTAGTGGGGTGGGAGTGGGGTGGGAGTGGGGTGGGAGTGGGGTGTAGTGGGGTGGTAGTTGTAGTTAGTAGTGGTGTAGTAGTGGTGTAGTAGTGGTGTAGTAGTGGTGTAGTAGTGGTTATAGTAGTGGTATAACAGTGTAGTACTGTAGTGGTATAGTAGTGGTGTAGTAGTGATTATAGTAGGTATAACAGTGGTAGAGTAGTGGTATAACAGTGGTAGAGTAGTGGTAGAGTAGTGGTATAACAGTGGTATAACAGTGGTATAACAGTGGTATAACAGTGGTATAACAGTGGTATAACAGTGGTATAACAGTGGTATAACAGTGGTATAATAGTGGTAGTAAGGCAGCAAAGTAGGGTATGATAGGGTAGTAGGGTAGTAGGTAGTAGGGTAGTAGGGTAGTAAGAGCACCAGACGGTAAATCGGCGATGAGATGGGGGGTAATAGGTGCCCTTTAGTATAGGACTATACGGGTGGTACTAAGGTAGTAAGTGTAGTAGTGGTAGGTAAGTTAGTAGTAGTGGTAGGTTAGTACTAGTGTGGTAGGTAGTAGTAGGTAGTAGTAGTGGTAGGTAGAATTAGTGGTAGGTAGTAGTGGTAGGTAGTAGTGGTAGGTAGTAGTGGTAGGTAGTAGTAGTGGTAGGTAGTAGTAGTGGTAGGTAGAATTAGCGGTAGATAGTAGTGGTGGTAGGTAGTAGTAGTGGTAGGTAGTAGTGGTGGTAGGTAGAATTAGCGGTAGATAGTAGTGGTAGGTAGAATTAGCGGTAGATAGTAGTAGTGGTAGATAGTAGTAGTGGTAGCACCATCTATCCGTATGGCTGGCTGGCTGGCTGACTGTCGTTGGATGATGAGGGATGAGGGAGGGATGAGGGAGGGATGATGGAGGGATGATGGAGGGATGATGGAAAGAGCCATTTAAAGCCCCACTTCGGCAGTGCCGCGGTATTCAGTCTATACCCGCACCATCCATACATGCGATGCCAAGTACGAGCTTGATCGATTTGATGCGGGTGAGACGCGTATGTACGCCCAACTGACTGTACTCTACTGCATCTCTCCTGTAGTATGATAACAGAGTCGAACGCCAAAAACAAACCCCACCACACCAAACAAGGTACAAGGGGGTAGAAAGGGTACAACTCCTCCAAAACGGGGAGCAGACTGAAACAGCAAATGAAAAAGACGTGGGAGGGAGGGGAGAGTCGTGGGCCGCCACACGGTATCGTCGTGATCGTCGTGATGGGTATTGTCGTGATTGTGATGGGTATCGTCGTGGTCGTGATGGGTCGTCGTGATCGTCGTGATGGGTATTGTCGTGATTGTGATGGGTATCGTCGTGGTCGTGATGGGTCGTCGTGATCGTCGTGATGGGTATCGTCGTGATCCGTATCGTCGCGATTGTCCCACCAACCCACCCACAGCGCCACTTAAACTGGGGGGGTGAGTGGGTGACTGGGGCGACTGTTTCCCGCCTTCATCAACTACCGTAACAGTGGTTAGAATACCAAGATATCTGGATAACTTACCAAGATATCTCACACCCATCCGATAAATTCCCCATAAACGTTATAATTCCTCAGCGTCATCGAAAACGCCACCACCCATTATATTTCGTGTCTCTCTGCTTCCCCATCCACCCCTTCCCACTCCAGCCTGCGCCATCAAATAATCATGGCTCTAGAACAGGGACAAGACACCGTCTCGCTCAACTCGCTCACTCTCACTCACCTCCCACTTCCCACTTCCCACTTCCCACTTCCCACAGCAGAGCGTATGGTTTCGTCGCTTATCACATGCACTTTCCCCGTGGCCCTAATCTGCGTCGGCAAATCACCGAGGCTCACCCATGCGCGATCGAAGGAAGGACGAGGAAGAGACGAGAGAGAGAGAGTGGGCCTTTCGCATGTCTGACGCGCACGATTCTCTGTTACCCGAAAGGAAACCACACCACAACCACACACACCACTTGACTGTTTTGTGCAGAGGATTATGAGATGAGGCTGCTGCATAAGCAAGCAAGCGTAGGAAATCAGTTGTATGGTATGGTATTTCGATGCGGCGACATACGGATTCGTCCTCCAGCATGTCATTTGGCCGAAAACCATCACCAGTCACGGGGTGGGCAACGTCTCACAACAGCCTTGCGCTGTTGCCGCACCAGTGGATTTGACATGTCTTTTCCAATTCCGCATCTCCGCGGTGATGCTGCTGCTGCTGCTGCTGCTGTCCTTGGGCCCAAGTTGTGCAGCGGCATCTCCGCCCTATCCCCTTCCTTTCCCTCTTTTCCCCCTTTCATCTTTCATGGAGATAATAATGGGACGATGATGGGGATGGGCACCTGAGATGAGAGACATGGTACTGTAGGGCAGAGGGCAGGGTGAGACTGACCTAGCCAGTCGTGCCACGGCGGCCTGAACAAGAACTGACTGCTCGTAAAGAGTGGCAAAAATGGGCGGCGCTGTCGATGGCCGCCCAGCTAACTAACGACCACCGCAACAGTGATGCCAGTAGTACCCGATAGAGCGTCTCCTTGTAAGGACAGAGTGCTTAACCATGAAGTCTATCCAACCTTAGTCCTGAGTTAGTCCGTCACATGCGCGCCTCAGTAGCCTTGGGAGATACCCTACTGCTCAGCACGCGATTCACGTTACCACATACCTATGTGGTAGGTACACACACACATCATCGAGCCCGAAGACCCATCGCACTATACCGCATTACCTCTACGGTGGGTTGATGAGGCTGTAGATCCTCATGTCCCTGCAAACAGTAAACAATGCGGGGTGTGAGACATGCCGTCCGTCCCTATCCAGTAACAGCCGGCAGATAGGAGAGTTCAGTGAGATCAAGTAGTACTCGCCGTAGTAGTGTACACTCCGTAACAGTAAACTCCAACGAAGAGAGGCAAATCGATTACCTAAGCCTCATCGCCCAAAGATATAGGCGCAACTGAGATCCGGTGCTCCGATAAGAAGAAAGGGAGGGGGGAAGCGCTACTCAGACAGACCGAGACCGTTGACCGCCGCCGTTGATCTTAGGGGTGCCAAGCGGCTAGATTGGCAGATGAGTGTCGTTCATCCGTTTCGTTTCGTTTCGTTTCGTTTCGGTGTCGTCGTTTCGTGTCGGCACGCGTCCACGGCAGTAATACTGATCAAGCCCTTACGATCTTGCATATCTGCAGTGCATCCACCGTCGGGATGGCACCCTCCTTCGCGGTTAGCCCGGAATGGCGTAACGAGGGTACTGGTGTTGTGCTAGCAAATTTACATCACGTGACTAGTATTAAACCCCTTAATAACCGTTTAAGTAGCGATCGGGCGAAGCGATCACTGAACTTCCCACCTAAAATTGAGAAATTTACAAGATAATAAATAACTCAACAACAACTTCATAATATATTCTAAAAATGTGTGTGTATCCTTATATATACACGTAGATTCCTTTTAAGCTTTAAAGCAATTAGACTAGTAGATATTGAAATATAAAGACCTAGTCTAAATTTCAGTGCCTAAACTTAATATCTTAAGAACTACTGAATAGATTATTCCTAAATGATTAGGTACAAATTCAACTAAATAGGAAAGGCTAGAAATACATTTTTAATATATATTATGAAGTTGTTGTTGAGTTATTATCTTGTAAATTTCTCAAGTGGGAAATTCAAAACTTCATATACACATATATTTGACTTAAAAAATTTAGCTTGTAAGCTAGCTGTATAAGGAAGTTATCAACAAACTATAGATTTGCTATACTAATATTTTGTATGGCAAAAACTTAACCCTTTAATAACTTATGTAAAACAACGCTAATACAGTTATAACTTTCACATGTAATAGAGTACTGTATATAGGTCCTATGTGTAAGAGGAATATGCTTTGGTAATTTTATTAATGGAGTTATAGCTGTTCCACCCGTTAGCTGTTCCACCCGTTACGCCACGACTTACGTTATGCCTAAATCGAGCAACACTCGCCAGGCGTGGTCTAGGATAAAAACGTGCGTTGGGGGTTGTTGTTGGTTTGTTGGTTTTTTGTTGTTGGTACAGGGTCATAAACTTTGGGGGCCTGGAAACTTTACTCTGGGGGGGCTGTTGGTTGTTGGTGGTTGGGTTGCAACACAACTTGGGACCCACGTGACGTTGGGAACCTTATTTCCACCTGATGGGTGTTTTAGCGCCTGGTGTGGTTCGCTTATCGATTAGAAGTATTGGAGAGTTCGACCATCGATATCGGCGCATCTCCAGCGGCGAGTCTGAGTCCATTGGAAACCATTACACCAACCTACCTCCATTCTTCTCAAGCCCACTATCATCTTAACCGGACAAACAACCGCAATAATGGCAATCGAAAATGCAAACCCCACAATCATCAACGTGGACGAGCTGCCCACTCGGCGGGGTAAACCAAAGTCCCTCACCAAGGAAGACCATAGCATCCTCTCCCTCCTCACGCCTACCCCCAACCCAGCCCTCCAGATCTACCTTGATGGCGAAGAGCCGCTCTCTGACGCCGAAGATGAGTTGACCGAGGAGCCGATTGATGAGCAGGAAATCTACGGTTCGTCCATAACCCCTTCCCCGCCTTCTCCAATTCGCCTCACCTTATATATCCACGGTCTGATAGATGAGCCTCAACTAACACCCCCCCGGACCTCATCTCCACCATCTCCGACCCCGAACACCCCCTCTCCCTCGGCTCCCTCGCCGTCGTCAACCTTGCCGACGTCTTCATCACCCCCTCCTCCCCCACCCCCACCGAACTCGTCACAGTCACCGTCCTCATCACCCCCACCATCACACACTGCTCCCTCGCCACCGTCATCGGTCTCGGCGTCCGCGTGCGCCTTGAACAAGCACTCCCGCCAAGATTTAGAGTCGATGTACGCATAAAGCCGGGGACGCATAGTCAGGATGAGCAGGTCAATAAGCAGTTGGCGGATAAGGAGCGGGTGGCGGCTGCGTTGGAGAATGCGACGTTGTTGAAGGTGTTGATGACGATGTTGGAGACGTGTGCGTAGGGGGGGTTAAATTGGGAAGGGAGAAGGAGGAGAAAGGATTGCTGATGGAGACGCGGGATGTAGTGGTGATGCATGGGGAACCCAGAGGGATGAGGATCTGGGGATGGGGAGGGGCGAGAGTGGGATTGACGACGCCGTACTCTACAAGGAGATCCGGTGCTCACTGGTGTGCATGGGCAACACCTCGATACGTCAGCGCCGCTTTCGGCCAGGGTGGTTGAGCTGAGTGAGTCGATCTACCTATACGACCTCGTGTCGCCAAGGATCAAAGCTGGGCATGGATCTACGTAACAGCAACAGCAAGCCATAGGCTGACATCCCGGTCTAGACGTCAAACCATCACCACCACCATAACCAGCACACACGACCCCGTCTTCCACAGCACCACAGGCATGCGAAATATAGATAGATACTCTACATATATACATACACACACAGCACACCACTGCGGTGCATATAATTACCCCAAAAAATTATACACCTAAAATACCAAGCCTCCAACAAACATGTAATAACCTTTTGGCAATTACCCGGGGATAGGGCCACTCATGGGCGCGGCATTTCTGGTCATCGGGCCTTCTTCCGAATTTATAAAATTTTCTCTCTTGCGGGCGTAGGGATAGTACGGGGTTGGGGGAGGCGGATGACGCGGCTCGCGCGGGCGGGTGCGCGGTTAGAATGGCATGTATGTATGCACACCCACCCGCATACTATTGGAGCTGATTCGTGGATCCGGAGATTTACACCCAAAATCGTATGGGATTCTCCGGCCACCGGAATCACTCTGCTTGGCAGTGGTCGACAGAACAGAGATATCTCAGAGCAGAATACAGTATATAGCAATATAATAGAGTCAATTGACTTATCTAAATATCTCACCGTTCTACGTAGCTTATATAGGTGATTCCTGGGGAGTAGCCGAAACCCTGAGCTTTGGCTTACCCCCACGGCAGTTGGTCATAGCGATAACTGCGGCCAAGCAGGCCAATGGGATACCCTTGGGAAACGCTCTCAAAACAGGGCTAATTCCTTGGCAAATCCCGGGATTTCCCTGGAATCTCAACACATATCTGGTGTAGGTCCCACGGGGATAGGTGATACCCAAGACACGTGGGTGACAGCCCGACGCGCTGGTGTCAAGATGAGGTAACTTAGGGCAAGTCCCCTTCTGAGTGAAAAAGGGGCAAGGTAAACGGACTGACACCGTGCACTTACTCGCTACGCACAAACGCCGCGGGCGGACGACTGATGTCCGTCCGTCCCATCCAGACCGGATGGTGGTGTGGGATATGTCCCGGGGATGATCCGGTGAGGGTGGAGGGTGAGGGGGTTTGAGGTGTTGTTTATGTTGCCCCTGAGGAGGTATGTGTTTTGTAGGGGCGGGCTGGGGATGCTTGGGTTTGTGATTCTTATTTTGTTGATATCTGCTCCTGTTGCCGTCGTCGTTGCTGCCGTGTCGTTTGGGAGGGTGCTTCATTTGGTGGGATGCTTTGGCTTTCAATGGCAAAAGGAGACCATGTGGCCTCTCTATTTTGTTTTTCAGTGCAGCAGCTCGGTTTAGGCATTGTGTCAGGGAGTTCTCGAACTATTCACCTGTAGCTGCTAGAGCTCACTTTGAGTTTCACTTCAGTAACTCGCTCAACTTTATTTTCTCGATCCCGAAGCTTCACTTTGATTACCCCCCCCTGCGGGTTTCAATTCTTTTGTCAATCCGGAATCTTATTTCTTGTGTCTTTTTACTACATTTCTCAATTCTTTCCCAAACCAGAATGAAGTGCAATTCAGGGGGTGTCTACGCCCCGAGCTTTCTCAACGATCGTTTGCTATCCATTGGTGACTTGGGACTATACCTACTCTCTAATCCCTATGTCCGAACGAATTGCCTTGGGGCATATTTCGTAAACCGAATTCTCCTATTTATCATGCCCAAGCCTCAGCTATTGTACATTGTCGGAGAGTACACGGGGCCATCGTACGAATCTCGAACATCATTTCTCCTCGGCCTATATTCATCATCCAAGCTCCTCACCGTCCCATCACTCAACACATACACCTGACTGCCATTAGAGATCCTCCTGACCTCACTCCTAGCCGCCCTCCCCCGCCAATGCCACAACAACGTCGGGCTAGGAAAGCACACCGAATCCGTATCAATATCCAAATACACCCTCGCTTCCCCACCCGCATACGCCTCCATACACAGCTCCCACCTCCTATCCAGCGCCAGCATCCGCGAGAGATGGCACGCATGCAGCAGTGCTGTATCTCAGTCGAGGAGCTCATCTCAGCCCATTTCTCGGAATCGGACTCCCGGTATTCCAGCGGATCGACGCGTAGTATTACATCCCGACCCGGCGCAGCGTTGATGGTCAAGTTCCAGATCGGGACCTGGATCTCGAATGGGAGGTAGGGGAAGTAGTGGAACTCCTTCAGTTCCGGTGGTCTGGTGATCTGGGGACGGGGCCAGGATTTGATGCGGGTCTGGAAGCGGGTGTTGGAGATGTGGTGGGGCGGGGGAGGGTTCCAGGGATTGAGGGTGAGAGGGCGGGGATGAGATTTAAGTCGGATCTCGAGAGGGCGGTGGGAGAAGCGGTGGAAAGTCTTCAGTTCTATGATCTTGATGATTCGAGGGCGGGGGTGTTTGAAGGTCCGGGGGGGAGATTTGAGGCGTTGGAGTGCGTGGTTCCTTCGCTTTAGCTTGCGGATCTTTATTATTGCTGTGCGGAGACGGGCCTTTGGTTGTTTTATCTTCTTCTTTTGGATTGCCTCGGTCTTCTTTGGCTTGGACATGTTGGTGGTGTTCTTTTGGGGATTGTGGGTGGCTTCGGTGTTGATGGTTGGGGGAAGAGCTGATGGGAGGGTTATTACGTTTTATATGTGCTCGTTCATTTGCTTGTTCTGGTGGAATACAGAATGGAATTAAAAGAGGGATTCTTTTGGAATCATCTGTCGACGGGTTTAGTCTGTCTTTGTCTTAAGCGGGTTCACTCTGCGTCCTTCTGGTTTTATCCGTGGTTGCTAAGTTTATGGCAAACAACAAGGGCACATAACAGTCGGCTCGGTCTCATGCTTTTAAGTTTTGCATGAAGGATGTTATACAAAGATACTATACGTTGGCAAAGGGGTTGTGATTGATGTGTTGTATGTGCTATGTCTGTTTGGAGTAGGTGGAAGTATGGGAGTGTATATGTATGTGCTGAATTATTATATCGGACAATCTCAAACTATTCAGTACATCTAACCTCTCCCTCCTCCTATTTTACCCTCCTTTTAACCCCACCATTCTTCACCTACCCCTCAACCTAACATGCATCATCCCCACCACAGTCAGTAGAGACACAAGAGGGCGAATACACGAGCACGGTATAGAGAAATAGTATCTGAAATTCTCACGGCGTCGCAGCCGCTACAAGCTGCTAAAATATATAAAGACCACCATCTCAATTCTCTAAGCGACCTGCCTACTATCACCATACCACCGACAACATCTACCCCAAATAGTGAACCCAATCCGTCCTCGCATCGACATACACCTTCCTCCCCTCTGCTTAATAACTAGGTATGTCTAGCGTCCAGCGATCCTGCGCCAGCAGCCGCGAGAGCTGGCATGTATGCAGGACCGCCGGGATCACGGTCCATGTAGGAGAAATGATCTCGGTCCACCGCCCGTGAGCTGGGCCTATCTGCAGAGCTTGGGGAATCGAGGAGTAGCGGATGATGAAGTCGCGGCCTGGGATGGAATGGATGGCGTGCTGCCAGATCATCGTTTGGATCTCGACGGGGAGGTTGGGGAAGCTGGGAAAGGAAGTTAGCTGTGTGGGGGATGGGACCGGCATCTTGAAAAAGGGAGGGGGGGGTGCGGGGATCTTGATGGTGTCCTACTTTTGGGTTGTTGCGCTGTTTTGCGAGGTGAGAATGTGGTGTTGGTGTTCTTCTAGGGGTTGCTGAAAGACTTTTGGTGTGTTTTGGTGGTTCTGTGTGGTTAGGAGAGGAGTGGCAGGGAGGTTTTATATAGACCTGGTCATCTGTTTATTATGAGAGGAGTGGGAGGGAGGTTTAAGCCGTCTTATATAGACCTGGTCATCTGTTTATTATGAGATGAAACTCAGGAGAGGGGGGTTGTTCGTTCGAATCATTTGAATCATTCGTCTTTTGTGGGTGAAGCAGCCGCCGTCTTTGTCTAGAGCGGATACATGACAAATGAGAATTCGAGAACAATAAACGAATGAATAGATATTATTCTTTGTGCATTGTGCTTTGTATGTCATTGTGCTTTGTCTACTTATGATACTGTTCGTAGGAGCTAATTATTGCATCTGCTAAAAGGACTTGGTCGTGCTAAATACACTTGTACGGATACTAAAAGGACTTGGTCGTGCTAAATACACTTGTACGGATACTAAAAGGAAGCGACTGTCCAAGGATAAAACTGTGCTGGGACATTGCATTGTTCTTGGATACCCTTTGTCATTAAGCAGATGATCTATCCAAATGGCCCTCTCTCTTTGAAACCCACTTGAAATTTCCAAGACATAATCAGCCTTAGTAGTCTTTCATGCACTTCTCCCATCACCACTCCAGTAAAAAAGGGGGCGGATACATGAGCATGGTATAGAGACGTAGTATTCAAGATACCGACCCCGCCGCAGTTGCTACAGGATGCTAGAATATAGTATATATTAAAGGCCACCGTCTTAAGCCGATGAAAGACCTACTTGTTATGACCTACCTATTATTTCCTATCACTGGTTTTGCTACCACCGCCATTCTCCCGCTATATCGCCGCCGCAGCCGCTCCAGTATGCTAATATATATATATAAAGACCACCATCTCAAGCCTCTAAGCGACCTACTACAGTCATCATACTACTGATAACCCAAGTAGAAGATTGCATCCCTCTTAACATCGATATACACCTTCTTGTCAGCAGTAGCATCATTAGGTATGCCTAGCGTCCAGCGCTCCCGTGCTAGCAGCCGCGAGAGATAGCATGCATGCAGGACTGCTGCTGGTATCATGGTACGATTAAGAACCTCGGCCAACAGCCTGTTCGGTCCGTAGCATTGGAGTATACCACGGCCTGGGATAGAATGGATGGTGTGCTGCCAGATCATAATTTGGATCTCGACGGGGAGCTTGGGGAAGATAGGGAAGGAGGTTAGTTGTGTGTGTGGAGGAGAGGGGGCATCTTGAAAAAGGGGAGGAGACTGCGGGGGGCTGCGGGGGGTCTTAATGATGCTCCTTAGGTTAGGATGTGGCGCTGTTTTGTGAGCGAGAGTGTAGTATTGGTGTTCTTCTCAGTGGTTATTGCTAGCTGTTTTTGGTGGATTGTAATTTCTGTCTAGGTAGGGAGGAGAGGGGAGGGAAGTCCATATAGTAGGTGTTTTTTCGAATCATTTATCCGTTGTCTTTGTTTAAGGCGAATTTAATGTCTATTGTTCTAGATTAATGTATTGTTGCTTTGACTATGGCGAATGAGAAAATGGGCACAATGAATAGCTAGATCTTGTGCTTTGTGCTTTGTATAATGGATATTGTACTTATGACACTGTTTGTAGGAGCAGATCGTTGTGGATGCCGAAAGGAAGTGACTATCTAAAGATGGAAAAGGCTACATTTAGTACGTAGGATACTGTACTTGGAAACTGTACTAGGACACCGTTCAGGTTTTACCGTTAGCACCCGCGTGGATATTTCCTTGTTCTCGGACATCCTTTGTCAAACAGATGATCCATCGCTACGTACGAATCTATCAAAATAGCCCTCCTCTTTCAGAACCCGTCGAAGTTTCCAAGACACAATCGGCCTTGGTAGTCTTTCATGCTCTTCCCCCTCCCTCACCCTCCCATCCCACCACTACAGCGGCACCAAACCCAAACTCCTCCGCAAACCCCACCCCCCTGTCACCCGCCTCCGCTCCAACCTGTATCCCCATACTCTCCCATACCCTCTTTTTCACATCCTCGTCCTCGATATCAAGGCCTGGGAAGCCGCCGTGCACGGCGGTGAAGCGGACGCGAGTGCGCGTGGGGGAAGGGGTATCATCTGTTTGAGTCGTTAGTTTTGGTCATAACTTGAGTGGCCGATTTAGGATGTTGGAAGGGTTTGAGTGGAAAAAATAGGAAGGGAGGGGACAAATGGAGGGGTAGAGGGGAAGGGAAAGAACGCACATTCGGATAACTCCACATAAACGCAAAACTGTTCATCCCCTTCGGCCTCTCGTGCGGTCTCCAATCACCGACCCCAGAGGGTGTGGGCATGATAGTATCTGCCACCAGGAATCAGGAATCGTGCAGCAGGACCATGGATCCGGGAAAATGGCCGCCTACGGTGATCGCCTTTGCTCCCGTTTCCCTTCCCTCGTGGCCAGGGATATCCAACTCGCCTCCCTCCCCATCAATGAACCTCCTCACCGGCTCCTCCCGGCGCGGCTGCTCTTCAACGAGCCACTCCTTATCATCCCCAGCGAGATAACCGGACATTTAAACACCGCCGCCACAATAAATGGGTGCTGTAAAAATGAGAATGTGAAATCACAATCCCGACCAGACCGCCCAGATCGAGTATGGAGCTGACGAAAGAGGGCGTGAGGAGAGTGATGCAGTCCTAGAGAATGTTGCCGGCGGGTGTGTGGACGAGGAAGGCGCGTTGGCCGATGGCGAGGCGGGGGGAACTGTGGATAATGGAGAGGGAGGGGGCGTTGGGGTGAGGGGAAAGGGAGCTAGTGTGGTTGAGACGGAGGGAGCGGAGGGTGGTGAAGGATTGGCCGGTTGGGGGGACGTATTGGCGGGCTAGAGGGGGTTAGCAGTTGTCAGAAGAAGCGTAAGAAGTGTTAGAAGTAGCAGGGGGGTAGGATAGGATGGGTGCTATGCAGTGACCCCTGATGGAGGGTGCTTGCATGATCGATCGAGGCAGGAGAGTGCATGGTGAGATCTGAGATTGGTATTTGAGATGTGGAAGGTGGGCGGAGGTGAGATCGCAAGCGAGGAACGATCATCGCAGATGCGACAGCTTGTTAGGAGAGCTGCATTAGAGGTGCCATATTGGGTACCGCATGTTGCGCAATGAGAAGGTCGTCGCGGGAGTACAGGATGTCGTTGTCTGTGGTGGTCGTCATTGTGTTGATGGGGGGGTGATGTGTTGTGGATATGTGGGAAAGTGATTAAGACAGAAAGTAAATGAAAATATGGTATATATATGTAAAAGTATATGTTTGTATGTTTGTATGTTTGATGTTGACCCTGATGATGATGATGATATAGCAATGGTCAGGCCATCAACGACAACGATAAGGCAAACACTGGGCCGCGGAGCTACCCCGCATTCTTGGCTGCAAAGCACGGAGCAGAACCGGCGGTCTAGTCCCAACAAGGATAAAGCGCCATCTGGCTATCGCATACCTTCGGCTGGACCTATCAGTTTTGGGGAAATGCGGTAGTATAAGAATGGCGGGACCCCTCGATTTCGAACTTACTCTTCTATTTACTCTCTCTTGGCCCTCAAAAAATCCCCCCATTCCTCCGTCTTCTAATTTTAACTTGTACCTTCTAAATACCTCTGCTCAATATCCCTGCGATATGGTGTTTATAGCTGGCTATCTGCAGCACCGCAGGGATTGGTACGTTTCTCCAATTCTATTGGAGTGCGGGGAAAGTAGCTGACGAGCACCGCATGATAGCAAACTGAAACAAAATGAACGTGCCGAGAGGATCGCTGCGCTTACAAAGTATCATGGTGCATTTACTGCCTCGGAACGTCAGGTCCTAGATAAGTCGGTCGAGGAGCTCGTCCAAGATGTCCAGAAGGAAGTCGTCCAGCCCATCGATGTCCTCCGCGCATACGGCAAGGCGGCGCTGAAGGCGCAAGAAAAGACCAATTGCTTAACAGAGATTATGATAGGTGCCTGTGAAGGCTGGTTGGCCGATGGCTCCATAAATCTCAAAGGGCCTCTGGCAGGTATCCCCGTCAGCTTGAAGGACTCGAATGGTGTCGCTGGCTTTGACACGACGGTTGGCTACTCCAGCAAGGTTGGAAACAAGAAGCCGGTTGACGGTCCGTTGGTGCGCCTGCTGAAAGATGCTGGCGCGGTGCCGTATGTCAAGACAAATCTCCCAATAACCCTACTCAGCTTCGAATCTGCCAACGATGTCTGGGGCCGCACCACGAACCCGCATAACTCAAAGTATTCGCCCGGTGGCTCAACGGGCGGCGAAGGCGCATTACTCGCCTTTGGTGGTGGCAGAATCGGTATTGGCTCCGATGTAGCGGGCAGCGTGCGCGCACCCGCTCACTTCTCGGGAATTTACAGTTTACGTTGCTCGATCGGTCGCTGGCCAAAGGCAGGCGCCGATACATCGATGCCGGGCCAAGAGGGCGTCCCTAGCATCTTCAGCCCTATGACTAGGACCATGGGTGACCTGTCGTATTTCACCGAGTCGATCATCGGCATGAAGCCATGGAAATACGACCACTCAGTCCATCCAATTCCATGGCGCTCTGACATCTCAGAGGCCATCAAGAAGCAGAAGGTCCTCAAAGTCGGCATCCTACGCTCCGACGGCGTCATCAACCCCTCACCAGCTTGTGTCCGCGCCCTAGACAAAGCCGCCGACGCACTCCGCGCCCAAGGCCACGAAGTCACCGAGCTCTCCGGCATGCCAGACATGTACGAAGCGCTTGAGCTCGCCTCCAAGCTACTGAACTCGGACGGCTGCCAGACATTCGAGTCCTTCCGTCGTCCCGGCGAGTGGGTCGACCGTGGCGCAGCGCAGATGAGCTACTACGCCTGGCTTCCACGACCGATTAAGTGGCTGTACGCGGCATATGTTAGGTACGTGCGTCGTGACCCTGTGTGGGCTGGTATTCTGGAGGGCTGGGGTCCGAAGTCGGCGTTCGAGCAGTGGAAGCTGGTTGCAAGGCGCGAGGCGTACAAGGCGCGCTGGCATGAGTGGTGGGAGAGGGAGGCGAAGGTTGATTTCATTCTTACGCCACCGAATGCGACGCCTGCGGTGCCGCATGATGCTATGGGAGATGCATGCTCGAGCTGTGGCTACACATTTTTGTGGAACTTGGTAAGCAGCCCATTATTTGTCCTGTTGGGAATGCAGCTGATTTTAGATTTAGATCGACTATACCGCCGGTATCGTCCCGATCACGCACGTTGACCGCACGCTTGATGCCCTGCCTGCGAGTTTCCGTCTGCGCAAGCTGAATGGTGTGGCGAGAGGTGCGTATATGCACTACGATGCCGATGCGATGCACGGCCTCCCCGTCGCCGTGCAGGTAGTAGGCCGGAGACTAGAAGAAGAAATGGTCCTGGCAGCCATGGAAAGGCTCGAGGATGCTTTGGGAGACGATAAGTATCAATTATTAGCGCTTGACTAGGTGGTATTTGTAATGGTCTATTGAACAGCATGTTGGCCGGCGTATAGTATCCATTAGCATAACGGAGTCAAATATATCAATATCACAATATACAGCCCCTCAGATCTTCCTCGCCTTAACCCTCAACCTCATGTACCCCAAATAATACCCCCCGCCCGCACTCCCCACAACCGTCTCCAACGCCTCCACCACCTCCTTCACACACTCCTCCCTCTCCTCATCCGCTACCGCATCCAAAAATAACTTCCCCATCAACCTAACCCACCCCTCCACTCCACCTCCAGCACCCTCCTCACACTTCGTAGGCCGATACTCTAGTTCCACATCTTCAACGGCAAATCCAACCTCCCCCAATACATTCCTCATCCACTTCTCATCCGGAAAAAACCACGGATCGACCTCTCGCGCGCGCTTCATCCCAATTCGCCGCGCCACGACTGCCAAGAGCGTAGCCTCCATCTCAGCCACATTGCCCTGGCCGCCCGTCTCAAACACAAGCCTTCCTCCCGGCGCGAGGGCGGCATGCGCACCGCGGAAGACGTCTACGCGCGACGCCTCATCACGGAGAATCCAGTGCAACGCCGCGTTAGAGAAAGCCTTCGTGAAAGCCCCCTTTTGTAGGGAGGGGGTAGACGAGAGATAGCGTGCATCCAGGACAGCGTAAGTTGTGTTAGCTGGTGCGGAGGCAGTGGCGGTGCTGATCATAGAGGCAGAGGAGTCGATGCCGTGGAGGGTGCCGGTGGTGAGGGTTTTGGCGAGGTCGTTCGTGAGGATGCCGTCTATGGGGGTTAGTGGGGGAAAGGCTTTGGGGGGGGAGGGGACGCACCACCGCAGCCTATGTCGAGGATTTTGTCGGTGGGTTGGACGTCGAGCCATTGGACTACTTTGGTGGCTAGTTTGGGGACGAAGGCGGCGGCGTTTTGGTAGGCGGCGGATGACCAGTTGTCCGTTGATGGGGTGGAGGTCGCCATGGGGGTTGATGGGGGTTGGCAAGGGAGTTTGGGATGAATTGGTTGCAGGTTTGTTGGATTATGATGTGATAAGAGGGGTCTTGAAGTATGATATCACAGGCCAAGTTATCTGATGAACAGAGAAAAATAAAATGAGGTATCAAGGAAATAAACGAAGGAGGGAAATACGAAGACTTTATATGCAATTCCTCATCCCAGGATTACCGTCTTACCTACCTAGGAAGCTCAGTTCACTGGCCCATGTTGGTTATCAATCGCCCTCTGAGGTCGAGGTGGCTTCCGATCTCGGAGCCGTGCTGTCATGGCGCCCTTGTAGCACTGGGTCCAGGGGAAATACTGTGTCACTATGAGCCCACTCCGTGTCAAAATTTCTCCTATATGACTGATTGTTCATTTAATCTGAGTTTGGGGTTTGTTTTGTTTTCACGTTGACTAAGATGTGTTGGTGAGGCAAGTTTTCGTGGTGGTGTGGAGTCTATGTGGGGTATACGTCTGTAAATTAACGTCACCTGGTCGTCCTGGGCAAGAACCAAAAATATAATGCGGTATTTTAAAGCACGAGTAATAGACTCTAAATTATGAAATTAACTTTATTGAAGTCTATATCGGCATCCTCTCGGACATTCTTCTCCACTTGATGTATGCCTCACTATTGAAGTAAGTACTTGTCACGGAAACATTGGGGCACCCGAACGAAGAATCATAGTATATTGCCATAGTATATTGCCAAAACAATCGCAAAGAGAGAAAGAGAGAGTGATGCTGAAGATATAATACAATATATGTGCTGGCATGTCTCAGTCTTTAAGACGTTTTAAAGGGGTATATAAATCCAATCTATGCCTCTCCTCCTCAGCACGCCAACGACAGTCTGTTACATTTTATTCCAATCTAATCGGTCCCCCAATACAATACGCCAATACTGCCTCTTCAAAAAGCTATACGTCCAGTCAAATCTCAAGCGATGCGTTCTGTTCTCTTTATACTCGTGATTTGCGCCGCCTTTTGCGTCGACATGGTGCATTCAGCATGCAACTACGACAGCGGTTGCCAATGTCGTCCAGGCTCAGGGATTCAAGGCCAATACTGTGGTTGGTGTCCGCAAATAAATACTGATAATGGAAAATAGTCCGATATGTACGTAGACGGGGGTTGCTGTCGTTATGGCCCCCATGCCTCTTGTGCCAACGAAGATCAGAGCAAATGTGGTACTATTTAGAGCAAAACGAGAGGCCCAGTGTATGTATTGACTTATGGCTATCAGAAACAAAAAGAACCCATACTGATCTATTTAGAGGAATTGGCCATCACATGAGGAGGACCCGGGCTAAAGTTTCAATAGTTTCCCTCGAATGGTGCGTTGATGTTGTGAGTGGAAGGGAACAAAGTGTTAAAAGGTTATAGTTGGCAGGCGGATGTATACTACATCGGCCATTGTTTCTAAATACGACCAAGCTACTTGTGCTGAATTAAACTTTATATGAGTTTTGGAGCAGGGAAGGCTGAGATTAAAACATCGCAGCCAACCAAGTCCCTTCCTTCGCGTATGGCTGGCCTCACCGAAAGGGTGTCAAAGAGCGAAGGGGCAGTCACGCGCGAAGTGGCTATGCCAGAGCATACCCCTTGTCTTTCGTCGGTTAGGCACCAGCTTCGAGGTTATGTATATAACGTTATAGGGGTCCTCTTTCGCTATGGCTCTGCATGTGTTGCCATTTGATACGATAAATCTCGTCTCAGTTCGTCGTAAAAGATGAGGGTGTTCAATACAATAGCGCTTCCTTAGCACCACCGTCTTTGCATATAGTCCTATCAACAATGGAGACCCACTCTGGTATAGCGATGCGAACAGGACCTTCCGAGATGAAGCAAAGTTAACAAGCCCCTTTTGGCTTCATCGGTGGATTGGGACTTACTACAATGGCACTATCGTATGTAGATGTTTTATTGCTCATATTCGAGATTCGCTTGCGTCCGAAGTATGATGCTCGATATAAGGCAGATATATAGTACGTTTGCTAACACCGACTACAACTACAGGAAGTCACAGTAGACGTCCAAAGTGACGGCCTTTGTGGGAATCAGCGTACTCATTTCAATGAGACTTACACCGGTGTTTCGTCCATCCTCAGTGTTGGGCCAGATCCTGAATATAGATACGGGATAATCTTTCTTAATCCATTCATTTTTCTGTTAGATGGCTGGGCTCCCAATACAACGCAGACTAGCCTTTTAGCCAACCGCACCGCAAAATCATATCTCCCACCAGCCGTCAAACTTGAAATGGAGAGTGCAATAAATTTCCGATTCGAAACTGTCAACGTCTTACCCTGGGACCTAGAACCTGCCCTCCTCTGGCCTACCTGCGAAGTCGCCAACACAAATATAAGTACGGCTTCTGGCTACAACTTTATCTGCCACTACCGAGAAGATCTATATGACTCCAGCCAGTTCTCCCTCCCAATTAGCACCTGCAACCACTCGAACACCGCACCCTTCGTAGCAATGAATGGCATGAACCTTGGTGACAATAGGGATACCCTGCGCGGAACCTTTAATGATAAGTCTGCAGACTTTGAATGGATCTCAAAGTTTTATGGCTATTTCACAACAGATTCTCTCAAACAGCGTTCTACATACTACTGCCGGGATGCCGGGAAACTGGCACCTTCACCATGAAATTTAAGGGCAGCGTCGATGCTGAGAATAGCCATCAGATGCTGCTAGGGCCAGGAAACAATATCAGCTGGGTGGAGGATGTGAAGAAGACAAATGTTACCACATTCTGTGCTGCGCCACTAAATGTGACCCAAAATGTAACCCAAAATGAGGAGGGCCTAGGTGTAAACTTTAATAATACTACAACATGGATGGCAACTGCTATTATAGTTGGCTGGAGTTTGGTCTGGGTTAATTATACCTGGTTATATTCCAGGTGATCACTTTGGGGTCAGGATTGGCTCGCGGACTGATGGGGTCGAAGAACGATAGGAGTGGAATAATTTTTGAGGTTTTTGAATTGCAAATAACGTTGGAGATATCAGATAGTAAAACATATGGTAAAGATTCATGAGTCTCTGAGAACTGAATGCTGTGTTCTATTTAAAGACAGGGTCGATCATTAGCTAAGCAATCTAGCTCCGAGGGTTCCTGAAGGTGGCAAGGCTGAAAGGCCGACGAGGTTCGAGAACACCGAGATTACCAGGGAAAGCAGAAAGGCAACACCAACAGCCTTTTTCGATAATGATCATATGGCGCTATTAAGTATTACCGTGCCGACCCTCAAGAAGCTTGCGGTGCCATTTGTATGCTGCCTCATCGCGTTTCTGTCACTCAGCTCGCAATACCTCTTCTACCACCTCGAGCCGGGGCCGCTGACGCCAACAGAAGCAGCATGGTTCAACACTCTCGTCTTTTGCATATGGTATACATATGAAAGAGCTTGCCGTGTTGATCCTGGGAGGCTGCCAAAGAGTTTAGCAGAGGGTGGCGCGCAAGATGGGGCAGAGACGGCGAAGGACGCGGATGCACTGGCGAATGTCCAACATGCCGGCAAGTGGTGCAAGAAATGCGATGCTCTGAAGCCTCCTAGAGCCCATCACTGCCGTCAGTGCAATCGGTAAGTACCTGGCCTGTCGCGATGAGGCTACCGTCAAAGATAAACTATGCACTAATCCGTCACACAGCTGTATTCCAAAAATGGACCATCACTGCCCATGGATATCCAATTGCGTCTCGCACACCACGTTCCCTCACTTCATTCGTTTTGTATTCTATGCGGTAGTATCTATGGGGGTCCTCGAGTACCACCTCTTCAACCGTGGCTATATCGTCTACCAAAACCGCAACCTGCCATCCTATCTTGGGCCCTCTCCCTACGCCCTAGCTCACCTAGTCATCCTCTTTGCCACAAACTCCCTCGCCCTCTTCATCCTCCTCATCCTCCTCGTCAGCGCCGGCAACTCCCTCGCCATGAACACCACCATGATCGAATCCTGGGTGATCGAGCGACACGAGTCCCTAGCCAACAAAGCGCGCTACCACGGCGGCTTCGTGCACGGCCCCGGCGGGCGCAGGATCCGCATCAGGAAGCAGGAGTTCCCCTATGACATCGGCATCTGGCAGAACCTGGTCCAAGGAATGGGGACCCCGAACGCCCTGACCTGGCTGCTGCCGTTTGCGGGCGACCCGGGTAATGAGACCGGGTGGGAGTTCCCGGTTAACGGGTTCGAGGACCCGGATGTGACATGGCCGCCGCCAGATCCGGATCGTATGGCGCAGGAGCCGTGGACGAGGGGAGAGGGGGATAGGAAGGAGGTGTTCTTGCACGGGGATGGAGGGGATGAGGTGCAGGAGTTTAGGAGGCGGCAGCAGCTGGATTATGAGAAGAGGGGACTGGTTGGGAGGGGTCTGTATGGGCGGAACAGACAGGTTGGGGCGCCGGGGAGCTATGACTGGCTTGAACTCGATAGTGAGAGGGACAGTAGCGAATATGAAGGACAGGACGAAGATGCGGGTGGAAGTGACGGATGGTTCAATTCTGACGGAGATAGACTGGGAGACTACGGAGTGGATGAGGAAGCCGAATTGGTTGATTGGGAAGAGGACGACGATATTCCTCTTGGCGAGCTGCTGAGGAGACGGCGTGGTACTCGTGTAGCTGAGTCTTAATAATAGCAATGTAATATCATGGAATCTGTCTCTTTGTCTCTACTTCTGAGTAACTAGCTCATTATTTGCAGCCATGAGTGATTGAGCGCCATTATTGTAAGCATAGTAACTGTGAATACCATTTTTGCGCAATGTCTCTCTTCAAACATTTGGGTGGCGGGAGTAGGGCTGAAGAAGTTAACAAGGAAAGTCCCATCCTAAGCATGGCACATCGCGATCCCGGTTTGGCTGCAAAGTGGAGCAAAACTATTTATAGTGTTTTCTCAGACGCGTTTTGCCTAGGCGATTGCTGTTTTCAGCCACCAAACGAGGCACCATGTCTTGCTAGTAAACCCTCAAAACCACCTCCCATCGTAAAGATAAGGAAAGATCGTAGACCTCGACATGTCATAGTCCCCTCCTGCCCAGACTAAACAATCCTCCAAGCCAATCCCCAGCACTATACAGCATAGCAGACGTGATCAGAGCCTCCCAGCCACCGCGAACATCACATCTCTCACAGCCCCGAAACACCTCCACAGCGACGTAAGTGGGCGGCGCGCGGAATCGGCACTACCTTAGCTCCGCACCGACCAATCTCCCCACAAGTGTTTCTAAATTCAGCACCAATCAGTCGTCGCCAAGAGCGAAAACCCAGCCTCATATCTGCCAAGAGATGCGATTTGGGTGGCTATCGCCGATTGCTGCCATGGTAACGGACTTCCTCGTGCTGGGACCCCGCTATGACGAGTGAACTGTGGGCGCGGCGGAAGAAGATAACGTCAAGGCGGGGTTGCTGGGATACGGTATAAGATAAAGGCTTTGGGTGTGCTGGCTTGTGTGATGATATTGTCTTATCAAGTGGTGCCTTTGGTTAAAAACATTCGCTGCTCCAGAGGGAAAAAATAATTAAGAGGATTTGACAAAGTTTTTTTCTCAAGACACCATCGTTTGGGTGGTTCGGATCTGACTCGAGGACTTCAAAGAACAAAACACATTTTCTGCAAAATTTGTGGACAGACACTAACTCGACATTCTCAAAATGCAATTCTCCAGCCGCATCACACTCGCCCTTGTCGGCCTGGTATCAATGGTGGCAGCACGCCCGGTCATCTGTACAGAGGTATGTCTACTTCCACTACAATACAGTGATTCTTCTTACTAAGAATCGACCCAGAAAACCCTCGACGGCATCCTCCTCGGCCATATGCCTAAAAACGCGTGCTGCTCCTACGGCTCCTGCGTCGGTGACGTGAACGTCTCCGGCGGCTGAACATCGCCACGTTAAGAGAATGAAAAACAAATAAAATACGGAAAGAAATATACATCACAAAATCAGCATTATAACGGCGTCATATTATTGACTCGGGAGGGAGGCGTTACGAAATCAACAGCGTGTATTCAGTCAGCGGAGTTTTTACCGGATATTTTACACGGAGAGGGGCAAGGCAACATGGAAAAGGGGGGGGGCAATGGACGCATAACGGAGTCACGGATAATACGGAATATGGGAATTTAGAATGGCGGCGGCGGAATATGGGAGAGTGCTCTATATGCCCAGTTGTGGCTTCAGTTGGCACCCCATGAGGTAGATATACAAATCACACAATACGAGCATATCAATAGCCCCGAGTGGCTTCAACCGCATTCGTTCCTGTGCAGCTTTAAGTGTGATATTGGGATTGGTTACTCGGTTCGTAGCGTTGATGTCGTGCATTCGTATTCAACCGCGCTATGAGGCTGCAAATGGTATAGACTTGGGCGCGCAGCTAGTCCGGATGGAAACTTGTATTTATATATGTTTGGATTGGTTACCATTGAATGGAATATGTCGATTCGGTTTCTTGCGGGGTATCAACAAACTTGCAGGTCTTATCGCAGGGTTGCGTGTTTACAACAGGTGTATTTGTTATATTACAGTTTGGTCACTGAAAATTTTATCTATAAGATTTTTTTTTATCTGTTGAAAAATCATTCACTATTAATATAATTGTCATATTAATCAACTAGCCATTATAAATTAATCTGAAGAAATAACTTTAATTAGCCTCAATGTAAACATCAATTCCTAGGACCCTTTAGCAGCAGGGTTAGCAAAATTATTTAACGTATTCTTGAATAAGTTAAGGGTAAAAGAATCATATACCATGTAAACTAGTAAAAAAGAATCATATACCATGTAATTGCAAAAAAGAACTATATACCATGCGCCCTCCCCACATAGTGCCTCCACCCCTGCTCGCCCTAGCCCATAATCATAGAAACCATGCCGCCATCCTCAATTGTGAGGACGGCAGCATGTCCTGGCGTTGTGACCTGTCTCTCCACAGGTTCTACAGCGCGAGGACGGAGTAGGTGGAAGAGGTTCAAGCCCATGAACCTCTATTCCTATTTCACCAGCTCGCCGGACCCTCCGGCGAGCTGCCTCCTTCCGAAACCTCTCTTTTTTAGGCCTCCCGCGAGGCACCCGAGTGATAGGAGGCTCGCAGGGGTCATTTTCAATGACCTCTAGCTCCGAAACGTCGACAGGAGGCATTGGAGCCTTGAATTGGGCTGCCCATTGGGCAGCCGAAAAAGTGTCAGGTAAGTAAGGACTTATTTGGTCCCCACGGGCGAAGATTAAGGCCATGGCATGCCCACAGGGTATGCCATTTGCTTGATACTTGCGGCAAGAGCATGTTCTTGCTGCAAGATCAATGAGGAAGATTCGCCCATTGGGCTGAATCACTCGTGCTTCAGAAGGAGAGGACACTTGGCATATGTTGCCTTGTGCCCATCCTCTTCCTTCTGATACTACACCATCAACGAAAGGTGTAGTATTATGGCTTGCAGCTAACAGTTTGTTAGCTGCAGCAAGGTGCTCTCCACGCGCTGCCATAACTCGATGCCAAATGGCATCGAGGAGCTCAACGATCGGGAGCTCTCGATCGGAAAGGAGAGTCTTATTCAGACTCTCTACAATATTTGATGTATCGTGAGCATATCGACGCCCACGAAACATTGACTCAGCCCATTTCTCTGGCTCAGAAGCCAAGAGATAGGCCGCAGCCTCTGGCTTCTCTGTTCTAAGGCTGTCTAAAACAGCTTCGAAAGCAACTCGAGTAGGTGCTCGAGCTGCTTTCCAGAACAGAGGAGCCAGTCTCCTCCCAAACTTCTCAGTGAAGTTCTCTTTAAGATGGTGGCAACACCAAGCCACCATCACCATCCTCCCGAGAGTTCTTTCTGCCTCTTGGAGACCCTTGTCTCGATCTGAGATAAGGGTGCTTTCTTCCAGCGAGATCTCTGGTATAGACCACCGGAGATGCTGGAAGAACCACTCCCAGGAGTCCTGATTCTCGGACTCCACCACCGCCCAAGCCAGGAGAACGTTCTCGCCATTGGCATCAATGCCAACGGCGAGTAACAAAGTAAGTATGAAACGGGCCTTCAAAAAGGTCCCGTCAACAGCAACAAGGCGCCGGCACAAGGAGAAAGTGCCCCGCGATTGCACAGGGCACACAAAAATCCGCTGAAAGCAGTCTGTAGATAGTTAGTATAGAGGAATAAAGAAGTAAAAAAAGGAAAAGGGGTGCATACTATGACGATCTCGGACGAGATCAACTTGCACTCCTGGAGACCTACTCTCTAGGAGGAACTTATAGGCCGGCAATAGCTGAAAGCTATGCCGCTGCCGACCTATATCACCATCAAGAAGGCGCAGCATACAAAGCTGCGCAATCTTGTAGCTGATCTCCTCTGCAAAACGTATGCGGAGGAGGTCAACAATTTCCTTTGGCCGAGTAACCTTTGTTATATTAATATGACAGGCTACTACTAGGTCCAACCACTCCTTTTTCGAGGAGGACCCAAAGGAGCGGACTCCTCGGCCAATACAAGAGTGTTCTCTCTCAGTAATGATGAGCTGCCAAGCTTCGTCATTATTAAGGAAGGCTCTGCACTGCCAGTGGCAGCCAGAGCTCTCTAACTCAGCACATATCCAGCGCCCTCTTGTCGAGTCCCTTTCAGCCGTCCGAAAAGAGAACTTCATTTTGATAGCCCAGTCATCAAGGGCCCGGACGAGAGCATCTAAATCGTCAAACTACGTGCCATCTTCTGGCACGGAGAGCTCTCCGAGAGCAGACATACGGACCCGCCTGACTTCTCAGTCAGGGCTTGCCACAATGAGGGCGGCGGCTGGTGAGTCAGCAAGGTGATAAGATGGCTTTCGAGCCTTCGGAGCCGGTATGGTGATAGTCGAATTGGTGGAGGAAGGGGGATCGGTGAAAGTGGGCCGAATAGGGGGGGGGGGGCCTTCCTATTACGGTTTAGCACAGTAGAAAATCAAAAAATAGTATCACAGGGGTAAGCGATTCTTTTTTACTAGTTTACATGGTATATGATTCTTTTACCCATAAGTTAATTTATTTAAATATTCAAATATTAACGTAATTCACCCCTGAGTGGGCCACACCCCCAAGTGGGCCACCCCCAATCCAATTTCTACACTTAGAGCCATTTAATTCAACAAAACGCCATTCAATCCTAATTATCTCTCTCGGGGCAGTAATTAGCTCTATGTCCAGGCATCCTACATATACTGCATGTATATATACGTCGTGTACCTAATGCTGGTGCTGGTAATAGTGGTAGTGCTGCTGCTGCACCTTCAGATGTAGATGCACCTCCTAGACCAAAGCGCAAGCCCTGCGCTTCTTGAACTAATAATCCCCCTTCATGAGCAAATTGCTTATTAGATAGGCTCTTCTTCTTCTTCTGTTTGTGATTCGCCTCACGTAGATCCTTGTTTTCCCTCTCTAAAAGAAGAATAGCTCTCATCGCTCCATTGCATGCTTTATACATCTGCTCAATTACCTGCTTTGTAGGGGTAGGTGGGCTTTCTGACCGATATTTCAGCAGGGATTTAGCTGATCTTTGGTGCTTTGCGAGCTGTGCAATCATAGCTGGTGTGTGTGGTTGATATACACTAGATCTGCTAGATGGTCGACTAGGCACTGGGGTTGGCGTTCGCAGTGATATATTAAGCTTTGAGAGCACAGCTTCTGCATTTAATGGTACTAATCCAGCTGCTTTAAAGCTATTCTGGATAGTATTCGTTTGAAATGCATCAGTGCGAGCAGTTGGATATGCAGCTAGGAATTCTAGCTTGTCAATATGGTTGATCCCCATTCGCATCTTCTGATCCACTAGCCTTCCATATGCACGTTTCAACCCTGCAAAGCACCCTACATCTAGGGGCTGAAGAAGATGCGATGAATGCGCAGGCATACATATAGGAATGATGTTGTTTTCAGTGCATAGCTGATCAAAGCGTGGCGTAAGATGGCTGCCATGTCCATCTAGGACCAAAAGTCGATATCTTCCATGCGCACGCGCATATGGGATGAATAGTTTTTCTAGCCATCTTAGACCAATTTCATCCGTAGTCCAGCCATTAGCACTAAGTTCAAACCACCAGTCTTGTGGTATATCTGATTGGAACCAGCTTTCCTTATATAGTTTGCCTTTGAAGATGATCATAGGTGGAAGGGCGTATCCTTCAGCGCCTACTGTTTCAATCACAGTTACCCACTCGCGATTACCTGGCTGCAAAACTGATCTACGACCATAGTATTCTGTCATACTGACATTCGTTGCACTCAGTTTGCTATCAAACTCAAGAGCAAACTTAGAAATCTCCTCCTCAAACCTACAAGTCACCATACATATCTTGGCTTATCACACCAACAACAGAAGCAATACTACTCAACGATTGCTGCAAACTCTTCTACTACATCTGTTTATGCTACATACATCATGGCATATCATTTGGACACTCATTGAGCAAGTTATTAAGAAACTCTCCTCCTTAAGGGGGTGGGCCAATACTACCACATGGCATATCTCTACCAACTAGAGGCCTAGGAACATGAACGATAGCTCTAGAAGCTTCTACAACCCTCTATGATTCATTACACGTCATCGCTCCTTAGTTACCCACAAGATTGGTTAAGTTATGACATAATTTGTCTATAGGTACTCTGATGTCATACTGACATTCGTTGCACTCAGTTTGCTATCAAACTCAAGAGCAAACTTAGAAATCTCCTCCTCAAACCTACAAGTCAACATACATATCTTGGCTTATCACACCAACAACAGAAGCAATACTACTCAACGATTGCTGCAAACTCTTCTACTACATCTGTTTATGCTACATACATCACGGCATATCATTTGGACACTCATTGAACAAGTTATTAAGAAAATCTCCTCCTTAAGGGGGTGGGCCAATACTACCACATGGCATATCTCTACCAACTAGAGGCCTAGGAACATGAACGATAGCTCTAGAAGCTTCTACAACCCTCTATGATTCATTATACGTCATCGCTCCTTAGTTACCCACAAGATTGGTTAAGTTATGACATAATTTATCTATAGGTACTCTGACCTTGGACCTCCTTTTCACTTCCTATAGGCTAGGAACCCAAGAGATGGTTCTATGGGATTCTCTTACATTTGCTACATGATTAGCAAGCTAGTTGTGGGTCACACTTGATTTCTAATACATTTACCAAGCCTGGTTAGTCATGGAAAGTCATGGAAAATGAGAGAACTACACTCCTTTAGCATAAATAGGATTGCCTTTTCCTTAAGAAAGGGCAAGCAGGCAATACAGTAAATCGACTATCACATACTTCCACATCTTTTCCAAGCTTCCAAGCATTCACCTT